AGAAGAGAAACATTGTGAAAGAGAACACGGATCTGTTGCCTCTCCCACAGGCCCAACTGGGGACCTGGCCTGCAACCCAGCACGGGCCCTGACCTGGAATTGACCTAGTGGCCATTTGGTTTGTAGGACGGCGCTCAACCCCCTGAGTTTGACCAGTTGGGGCAGCCTTTCATCAGCCATCCAATAAAATGACCCCATGGTTTACACAGCTACATCTTCAGACCTCACTTACCTTATGGTGGGGGTTTGTGTGAATATGGAATTAGTTTTAATGCCCTTTAATACATCATCTGATTGGACTCTCAAAATGACCACCCCACTTACCAGTAAAAAGAAACACTGCCACCCCAGGAGAAAGTGAGGCACTTAACAAACTAGGAACAAGAGTTGGAGCTCACACCAGCTCTTCTGAAGGCAGCTACGCTGATCTTTCCTGGACAGTTCGCATCCTTCCCCGGGAGGCCTCATCAAAACTAGATAAAAGAAACTTGCTTCTCCTCCAAAACACTTACTTGGACCAACACTGTTCATTATTTCATTTCACCTGACTTGTGTTCACACGTGTCAGAAACTATGTGGACCTACGCCTTCCGGTTGGTAGCCTCCAATTACAAACTGGGTCTGAAGAAAACTTGGCAGCCTGATAAATTCAAGCAAGCAGGCACTTCAGTTCAAGATATAGAATTTTGCAATATCAAGGTTGAAAATGGGTAAAAAATGGTTGTGTAGGAATTGATTGGCTAAGGTATGTAATAACAATAATAATAATAGTAATAGTAATAACAATAGCAGAGTTTCCATTTATTGAGTGCTTACTATATTCCAGGTCCTGGGGGAAACACATTATATAATTTAACCTCAATTAGAAATAGTTTCCTAAACTTATTTTTGTCTTTTTCAATCTAAATAAATAATTTTGCATTGATGATAAAATAGCTAACTTAAAAAAAAAACTCCAGGCTTCGAAGCCTACCACCTATTGTAATGATTAGATGTGAACAATTATGACTAAACCTCTCTGTATTCCTGTCATGTAGAAAACAAGAGCCACAGAAATAACAGTGATCTTTGATTTAGTGTTATCTTCATAAACAGAGATTGCAACATGTGTTTTCACCGTTCATCTGCCCAGTGACTTTCAATTGGTGCGCTGCCAGAATTTTTAAAACATGTGACACCTGACTGCTTAGTCGGGGGCACTGACCTCTTTTCCCTGAGATTGTCAAATAAAATAATGATGACAGCCAGCAAAACAATAACCAGCCAGTGCAAATGCCCTGTCTTGAGCCATAAATATGTAGGTCAGAGAGTTGGATTTTATTGGTCACATCGCGTAATATGGTTTGTCTGATTGGTTCATTATTGGTACCAGAAATCCCTATATACAAGTATAGGCACCTGATTTTTTTTTTTAATTCTCGCTTGAGGATATGTTTTTATTGATTTTTAGAGGGGAAGGGGATGGGAGAGAGAGAGAGGAAGACAGAATCCATACATTGCCTCCTGTACTTGCCGGGGCCAAGGATAGAACCTGCGACCTGTACACCCTGTCGGGTACGTGCCCTGACAGGGATTGAAACTGCAACCTTCAGGTGGCACTCCAGCCGCCTGAGCCACTGGTCAGGGCAGCACCTGATTTTTTTAAGTCACTTTGGAGTGGCCCTGGCCAGCTATCTCTGTTGGTTAAAGCGTTGTCCCAATGCATCAAGGTTGTGGGTTGGATCCGCAGTCAGGGCACATACAGGAATGAACCAATGAATGCATGAATAAGTGGAGCCGCGAATCGATGTTTCTCATTCTCTAAAATCAATAAAATTTTTTTAAAAGTCACTTTGGAGCCAAAAGGGCAGCTAATTTCCATTTATTTTATTTTAAATCAATCAAAATTGTGCCCTTTTTCGTTCAGATTGGCAAAAAGTATAATGTGTTTTTTGGTGTGCTACAGAATTTCAGTAGTTAGTTTGTGTACCATGAGATGAAGGAGGATGAAAATCACTGGTCAGTTAATGTTTGCTACTTGTTACTTACATGTCTTACAGGAAACACCTGTTCACAGCTAGGGCAACTTTCACTATGATAATCCAGTGTGAGTTGCCTGTTTGTACATTGCTTCCTCTGTCCTCTCCAGTAACTTCAATCTGTCTCCTAGATAAGTAAGAATATTGGAAAAGTTTGGGTCTTAACGTTGCTGTAGCATTATCCGTCGATGAGGACTTTTATCTTTAACCCCACATAGTCTGTTGGTATGATCAGAGGGGACTTGGAGGTACAGAGGAGAAAATGCGGCCACCAAATGACAGGTTGCATGTTGGCATTTTGACAATAGGCAGCCTGGGTTTGAATCTCCCTTCCGACATTTATTAACTGTGTGACCTTAAACGTTTTACCTGTGTTCTCTAAGCTTTAATTTTCTCATCTTTAGAAATTATGATAAGAACAGTGTCTGTCTCACAGGGCTGGTGTGAGGGTTCAGGGAGACACAGCATGTAGATGTGTTAGCACAGTGCCTGGCACACAGTAAGAGCATGACAAATACTAATTACTAGGATAGAAACACCTCCCTCGGCCGCTTCCTGGATGTGTGACTCTGGGCAAGTCATTCGGCCTCTCTAACTCTGCACCTGTAAGGGAATAGACTAGTCTAGATGTTCTCCAAAATCTTTTTTCAGCTCTAATTTTCTATGAATCGAAATTATTCTGTGTTTAAAACAGAGATAGTTAGTACTCAGCAAATACTCAGCAAAAAAAAAAACACAAATGTGCTCTTGTACATTTCTAAGCATTGCAATTAAGTTGAGACCTCAAAACCAACACTGGCCACCGGAAATGTGATGTAAAAGATGAGTTTCTCCAGGTCCCAGGCAGTTAGTTAGGAGCCAGGCTCTCTCCTGGGAAGCTAGAAACAAAGAATTCAAAGAAAGCACGCTTGCGATATGGAGGCTGCCTGGATCTCGGCCGTCGCACTGGAGAAAATCTGCCTGTCCTGCATTTGACTGTGACAAGATTAAGAAATAATAATTCTTTGTTGTGATAAGCAAATGATATTTTGAAGTTTGGCCATTAAAGCAGCTAGCAGTTACCCTGACATATAAATAATACTCAAACCCTTCCATACCCTATATCTGCAATGTTTTTGTGGAGGTGAATGTTAAAAAAACAAAGCACGCTATTTGTTGGGGTGGGAGGTGGAAGGGGAAAGAGATGCCATTGAAGATCAACATGTGGCCTGAGAGGCGTGTGTAAAAGACACAGAAGTAGTCAAGAAGCCACGTGCGACATTGTTTTCTGTGTGACTTCAGGCTTTTTTTGAGGGGGGTGTTTACTAGGTGCCGCCCTCATTCCCATCAGCCTGGTTTCGGGCTTGTTTCACTCCACTCACAGGATGGCTCTGACCCTTCAGTCCGCACTGCCTCACCTGCTTTTACACCACCTTACCATTCCTCCCGCTGTTTCACAGGGCGTGTTGTAAAATTCCTGAAGCATAATTAATTGTATTCTAATTACACTAATTAGAAGAAGAAAAACGTTTCACTTCAGAGGTAAAATGAAAAGGCGCATAGTATTGGACTGCCCGACCTCACAAGACAGCTGTGAAGACCAGATCCCAGAGGTTGGAACCTGCGGAGCGCTGTGCAGTGAGGTGAGGTGCAGGACGCGGTGAAGAAATGAGGGGTAGATGGCAAAGGCACTGCAACTCATGAAAAAGTCTGTGTATCATCTGGAATAGGAATTTTTAAAGTCTAAATACAATGTATGGTTAAAGATCTACACAAGATCTTTAATAAGAAGAGTTCGGGAGTTCATTCTACAGAATATACTTAACTTCCCTAACTATTCTTTTTAAATATATGTATATTGATTGATTTTAGAGACAGAGAGAGAAAGAGAAAGAAAGGGGGAGAGAGAAACATTGATTTACTGTTCCACTTACTGATGCATTCATTGGGTGCTTCTTGTATGTGCCCTGACTGGGATGCAACCGAAACCTTGGAGAATCAGGATGATGCTTTAACCAACAGAGCTAGTCCTGGGCACAGCCTGTTCTCTTTCTTAAAAGAAAGAAATGACCAGACTTGGGCCTCAGCCCATCCACCTCCCACCAATGCCCAGAGCTCACATGCTTCAGTCCCCTCCTATGTGGCAAAGATGTCCAGCCCTACAGAGACTGAGCGGTGCATTGGTCCCTGATTCCTGTTTTCCAGGGGTATCTGCAAAGGTGATAAAAGCTACATGCTCTCCAAGACTGAGATCCTAACATTCATGAATACAAAACCACCCACCTTCACAAAGAACCAGAAGGACCCCAGTGTCCTTGACCATGTGATGAAGGAATCGGGCATCTACTGTGTTGAGCAGGTAGAGTTCCAAGAATTTCTTAATCTTATTGGCAGTGTGGCACTAACTTGCCATGATCCCTTTAGCAGTTTCCAGAAGTGCATCTGTGGAGCCTGGAGCTGGGGGCCTGCAGACCCACCCCCTTTCCTTCCAGCTTCCCCGTCATCGCCACCTCCTCACAGACCACATACCCTGAGCCCAGCTGCCCACCCCCTCATGCAAGTCCCTCCTGCTGGTATAATAAAACATATGTTTTAAACACACACACACAAAGTAATACAAATAAAAATTCAATGAAACAGTTACTAAACAATATACCAAAAAAGAAGTAGTAACACCTTTTTCAGAATCACTGAAACACTAAGAGCAGTGAGAATGGTCTTTCTAAGCAGGCCCACATACACATCTCTGGACTGTTTAGGAAAACTGGAATTCTTTAAGAACTCACATCCATATTTTCTTTTTTTTCTTAAGTAAAGTATAGTCAACATATAAGATTTTTTTTGTTTGAGATGCACAATATAGCTATTCAACATTTTATACTGCACCCATCTATATTTTCTTAGCTAAGAAAATAATGGTGGTAGGTATTATGTTGATGTCACTTTATTAATAACGATTGACTTCAGTGTAGATTTCAAAGTAAATAAATACCAGTGATTCACCTTTCCATGCCATTTATCAGGATGAGCTATTCTAAGACATTTGTGATTCAGATGGAAGGTTGGAACAGAGACTACTGCACCGTAACAAAAAGGATAGATGAAAATCTCAGAAGATGACTGTTGACCTAATCCAAACAAAATACCCTCTGGTTCCACTGGTTGTTGCTAAGCCTCAGTAGAGGGTGAAGAATAACTATAGCACAGGAGCGGAAGGGGGTCTGCTTGTTTTTATGTTTGTGGCTGTTCAAGTGGATGAGTGATAAGATCCGAAGCTGATCTCCGCCAACTGTATGGAGACCTCGAGCTCACTGACGTCAATGCTCAGAATAGGGTATGCGGCAACAGCAGTGAGCCCTCACGAGATAAAAGCAAAAAGTAAACAGTGGGACCTGAAGAAGGGAATTAACTGATTGACCAGTCAATCAGTAAGGTCATTGAGGCAGGAATAACACTTGACTGTATCCACGGTCACCCCCCAGAGAGGCACTGCTTGGAGGCCCGGAGAGCAGGTTTTCCTGAAGTGAAGTTGCATGGAGGCTTGGTGGGCCCTGTGAAGAAGCACTAAGCAGTATCACATTCCTGTCGGAAGAGCCATGGCCCACGTATTCTCTGACCCTTTGAGGGAGGTTCATTGTGTCATTTACAGGAGACCTGTTTCTCCAAAGTCTGGTCAACAGTTGGCCATTTTGTCTCATATTCAAGCTACAGGTTGAACATACTATGATTTTTTTAAGAAGGCAAAAATCCATGTTTAATAGTTGTCAGTGACTCTAGATTAGATGTAACCAACCTCCACAGGTTGCACAACATTAATATACTGAATAGCTTTTTTGCTCTTCACTCAGGATCTACCAATCAGTGAGGGAGTCACTGCCGCTAAGGACAGAGAACAGGGTATGAAGGTGAGAAGAGTGAGTGTAAGGCCTGGAAAATGGAGGGAGGGGGCAAAGCTCATTTTAAGATGATTCATTGCTAGTGTCTAGAAATACAACTGGTTTTTGTATATCGATTTTGCATCATGCAATCTTGTTGAACTGCTTAATTCTAACCGTTTTTCAGTAGATTCTTTGGGATTGTCTAAAAGTTTTTGTTGATTTTGATATTGACATAAATGGAATCATAGAATATGTACAGCTTGGGGTTTAACTTCTTCACAATGCCTCTTTTTGTCAATTAGATATAACTGGAGGGGCAGGGAAATTGAACAAGCAGAATTGTCCCAATTTTTATCTATCCTATCAGCACAAATTATTTTCAAATCACATTGTTTTTTGTCAAGGGCATTTACATAGATGCATATTTGAGCCTCATAGAACTCAGTGAAGTTAAGTAGTCCTGTCATCATCACCCTCAATTTTTGAGGTGAGAAAACAGAGGTACAAGAAGATTAGGCAAGTTGCCCATAGTCTTTCAATGAATCGTGGGTGGAGCATGAACTGCGGGTGGAGACAGACTAGGGCTCCAGGCTTCCACCTCTGAGTCCAGACCCTTCACTGCCAAGCACATCTGTCCTCTCACATCTGAAGAATACAGCCTGACCCTCTATGGCCTACTGTCACACGCTACCAATTCCCCTTCTGATTTATTTTTTTAATATTTAATTTATTTTTAGAAACTGGAAAGGGAGAGAAACAGTCATACAGTGAGAGATGTATCAATTGGTTGCCTCTCACATGACCCCCCAACTGGGGACCTGGCCCGCGTAACCCAGGCATGTGCCCTGACTGGGAACTGAACCAGTGATCCTTCAGTTTACAGATGGGTACTCAATCCACTGAGCCAAACCAGCCAGGGCTCCCCTTTTAATTTAAAAAATACAATTTGCCAATATTGCTAAGGGGGGAAACAACTCATGGAATTTCCTTGGACCTGTACTGAACAAAGAAAAGAAGAATTTGAGTAACCGTAGCCTCTGGGGATGCATGTTCCTGGACTTTTCCTGCCCAAGGAGTGCCGTGCACAAAACCATCCGAATCTCTGCCCTTAACCTCCTCCCTCTCCCCTTCCCTTTCTCCTTCCTTCCTTCCTTCCTTCCTTCCTTCCTTCCTTCCTTCCTTCCTTCCTTCCTTCCACCAAATGCTTATCGAAAGTGTACCATGCACCACCCACTATTCTTGCCACTTACTATCCCACAATAAATAAAACAGACATGGTCCCAGCCTGCTTGAAATTTACACAATAGTGAACTGTGGTCATTTGTAAACAAAAAATCCCAAGTGTCATAAACATTAAACTCTTATGCAGTGAACCTGGCCCACATTGAGAGGTAAATGTTTTACCAATGAATCAATGTTTGAATGAATAAACAAATGAAGAGATGGATCGACTTACTTTTACAATTTTATAACTCTGAAATTCTTACCATAGTAAGATAATGAAAATTTTTCTCTAATTCCTATTTTCTATTGCTATATTGCTGTGAGTGAAAAAAGTTGAGGAAGAACTAAGCTAAACCTGTCAGTCAATAAACTTCCTAAGAAAATCAATTAAGTAGCTCAAAATCATTTCTGTACTTTGAGGGAAAAAAAAGAAGGCAACTGCCAGATGATAATTTTAATTGAATTCAGAAGCCATTACCTATGAGAACCTTTCATTTATTCTTACCCAGTCAATCGAAAACAATTTACGCAAAGCAAAATCTGTTTTCTTCTAAGTTGCAACTAAGCTGAGAGCTGTCATGCCAAGTTTCCCCTAGTGTGAATTCCAGCAGCTGAATAATAAACACCAGTAGAAGAAACCCTCTTTCTAGAATGCCAGCAGGACTGCTTTAACCAAATTTACGCTACTAGGCAACAATCTAAGAAAACCAGTATTCTGAGCTAATTGCCTATCTAAAAGGCTAGAGAAAACATTACTGAAAGATGCAGTCTTGTTAATAATTCCCCCTATTACCCCATCCTGAATTATCTTTTACCCATGGAAGGGTAAACACAGATGTTTCCAAGAATCTTCAATTTTCATTAAAGTGGGGAAAAAAAGACTGTCTCCCTGTCTTAGGGAGTCTATGCAAATACCCTCCCCAACCCATACAGTAATTTACAAATGCAATGGCGACAGTGACAGAGAGGGCAGGTTCTGAGGGCTGAGTGGAAGCCTCTAACCCCAAACTGATGTCCATGCCCGTCAGCCACATTGCACCCTTGCCCCCACTGGCTCACCCATGCATTCATCAAGGGTAAAACAAGACAGAAAGCCGTAGTCTAATGTGGGTCAGAGGAGACACAGGTACGCACATAAACAAGATCATCAAAGATAATTGTGCTTTGAAGAACATTTCAAACATGGCAGTAGAGAGTAACTTGAGAAGCCTTATGTAACAAGGCGGGGTAAGAAAGGCCTTCCAGAGTATTTTTCGGGCAGAGGTTATACACGTTACAAAGGTTCTCTGTGTTCCTTTTTTAAAAATATATATTTATTTATCTTTAGAGAGAGGGGAAGGAGAAAGAGTAGGAGAGAAACATCAATGTGTGGTTGCCTCTCATGTATCCCCCACTGGGGACCTGGCCTGCAACCCAGGCACGTGCCCTGACTGGGAATTGAACCGGCAACCCTTTGCTTCACAGGCCAGCATTTAATCCACTGAGCTACACCAGCCAGGCCCTCTGTGTTCCCTCAGATTTAAAAAATCCAGCCTCCCCGTGCTTCTGTCACATCAGCTGATATATACACCCAACAATTGGAGGTGTACTCTTTTCCAGCCAACTCACGAGAAGTATGTGGCAAGGAAGGGCATGACCCAACACAAGAATGCAAGAAGAAAACTCACTTCTTCCTTTATGGCCAGGGGGTGGCAAAAATCCCTTATGCTAGGAAAAGCAGGAATACTAAAGAAGAAATGAAAAATATAATTTCACCAGAAATTATATATATATAAAATATTATGTGTGAGCATCCAAATATGTGTGTAGACATGCATGTATATGTACATACAATATATAGAACATGTATGTGTTATATCATATATATCTGAAAAAGGGCTCATACAGAACATAGGAAGAACTCATGGATATCAATAATAAGACAAATGACCCAATTTTTAAATAGAGAAAATATTTGAATAGGAACGTTACAAAAGAAGATAATCAAAATGGCCAATAGAAAACATGTTTGACAGAGAAGTACATATTAAAACCACAATGAGAGAGCCCTTCATACCCACTAAAATGGCTCAGATGAAAAAGAGTAACCATACTAAGTGCTGGAGAGAATGTGGGAAAACAGGAACTCTCATATACTGCTGTTATGCACACAAAGTTGTCAGTGATTTTCATAAGAGCTTTACTGAGCATAGCTGAAAACTAGAAATACTCCTACTGCCCATCACGAAGGAGTAAACAAGTTGTGTTGAATCCATGGAGTGAATTACTACTCATCAATAAAATGAATGAACTACTACTATATAAAACAACATATAGATGGATCTTAAAAACATGCTGAGTGATATAAACCAGGCACGAAGCTATCTGTTGTATGATAACCTCTATATGAGATTTTAGGGAAATAAAGGAAATCTAATCTATAGAGATAAAAAGCAGATCAGTGATTAACTGAAAAAGGATGTGAGGAAATTTTGGATGATGGAAATGTTCTATATATCTTAACAGTGGTAGTGGTTGCGCAGATTTATGCATTTACCAAAACTGTATGTATGTACACTTAAAAGGATCACATTTTGTATGCAAATAATAATAACGTTGATTTTAACTCATCATTGATTTTTAAAAACTGACTTCTTTCAAAAAATGCTCTTAATGTTTGCCAGTAGGACTGGCATAAGTCTATTATTTATCAAATCAATTCACAACGTGAGATTGGAAAGCTAGGCAGACATAGAGCCAATATCATAACCATAGTCCCAAAATATTTGCTGACATGGGTTACCTGAATTTACACCTGTCTTGAAAGATGCTTTGTGAAGAAAAATCTCTGTGGTTCAGGAGATTATAGAAAGACTACACTAGTCTGTCTATTCATGTTATACATTACCATAAATAGAGTTCTGAAAGTCCTATGATAAAAAATCTTTATTTATGCCACCCTTTCTTAAGTTATTTGATCTAGGAACACCTAGCAGAACATAGTTTGGGAAGTGCTTAATTAGTTTACCAATGTCACTGTGAAGGGAAGTTTCTTAGAGTTTTTAATCATCAATATTTATTTTAAATCTCAAAAAAGGGTAATTTAGTA